AAGAATGACAATTGGGTAGTTACTGAATTTATAAGTATCATTTTCTCTTCAGAGTTCTATAAGCTGGCATCCGAACACTGCAGAGGAAAATCTTTAAGATGGTCTCAATTTATTCTATTTTTTCTAACTAGATTGTTAAAAAGATTTTTCCTTAATTTATTAACTTTACCTAAGCACAGTCTGAATAAAATGCTAATTAGTTTATGGGCCTCTAAAAGTGTCCAAGCCCGACATAATTCCATGAGGGAAGACACGGTAGGTAGAGTAATGGTCCCCCGAGATACCTGCATCCTAGTCCCTGGAACCTGCGAACAGTTTACATAGCAAAGAATTAATGCGGCAGAAGGAATTAAGGCTGCTAATCAGCTGACCTTAAAATAAGATTACTCTGGAATACCTGGGTGAGCTCAGTGTAATCTAAGAGTCCTTAAGAGTGAAAAAGGGAGGCAGAAGATGTCGGGAGTAATGAGATGTAGAGACTCAGCTCACTGTGGCTGGATGGGAAGATGGAGAAAGGGACAGTGAGCCAACAGTGCCCAGCAGCCTCTAGAAGCTGGAAAAGGGGAGGCAAGGGTTGCTCCTCAAGAGCCTCCAGAAACACTGCTCTGTGACACTTTAACCCAGTGCAACATGCATCAAGACTCCTGACCCACAGAACTGCAGATAAGAAACACATCTGTGTTGTGCTTTGAATGAAACGAATGGCAGAGACGAAGATCTGAGCTCGGTAGGGTAATCAGGGAGGCCTCTTTGAGGAAGTGACATTTAAGCCAAGACCTAGAAGCTGCTGAAGTCAGCCATACCAAGTGCATCACACGCCTGTTAGAGAATGTCTGCCTCTCAGATACGTGCTCAGGTTGTCATTCTTACCTGAAAAATCTCCCCTCCTCACCCGCTCCTGACTGAAATCAAGCTGTTTGAAGCCAGCCAAGATGCAGGTTTTGTACTCGTACTTGTCTCTCCGTTATTCACCCCACCACCCTGCCCACCCTGCGTGCTTCTGGGAGGGAAGGCCGACTCTGCCACGGCCACTGCCGATAGAGATGGCGCGTTAAGCATGAGTCCTGAGCTTGCTCAGGTGGGTCCGAGACCTAAACTTGCCCAAGCTGAGTGAAGGTGAAACTCCATTTTGAAGGGAGGGTGAAGAGGCTTGTTTCTGGCTGGGTGTGAGCCAGGACAGCTGGACAGGTATCTATCTCCGTGACCAAGAGATAAGCAGTACCTTGCCTACGCTAATGGAGAAAGCTGGTACTTGAGTCAGGAAGTTTCCCTCTTAACCCTAACACTGTAAAAGTCCTTAAATAGTTCTTTTAAATTTCTCAACCACTTACAACAGCAAACTTCAAATTGGAATTTACGTATCCCTGGGGCTCAGAAATTAGATGAATTTACATGAATACATGTGTAGCTTCAAGGATCTGCCACACAAACTTCTGTATCGTGCTTCCCAAAGTTAACCTGAGAAGATACCTGGCTTTCCTTCCTCCAGTCCTTTTCTTACAGTATCCCTCAAGCATACTGGTTTTACTGGGACACTGCTTTGTCTCAGGGTGCCAGAAACAACTTAAAATGTAATCAAGGCACCCTGTACCAGTGTAGGACTTTTTATATCCCTGAAACCTTCTGTGGACTAAAGTCAAAAGTGAGAACACCATATGGTTATTTGTCAGCACTATCACATTCTAATGACAAGTTGTCTGATGACCAAAAATGCAGATTTAAGAGTGGAGAACAAAACAGAACTGGGGATAAGAAGTTAAAAAGAAAAAAACAAACAAACCTATAAGACAGAGCCCAACTTAATTCCGGCAGCAAAATCTTGTTGCAAACCTGCCACAACCACCTGCACGGTCACCCTCCTTCTTGTCGGTGGCGTGGCATGCTCTCCTTCACCCCGGTGGTCTGAACATCAGTGGCTCATTTTTGAGATTTAAAAATGGAGTTCAAGATTTACTTCCAACATATCACCATTACACTGCCACACAAATGGAACACACAAGGGGAAGGTCTTCTATTTTCTTGACCCTTCACTTAGGAGAAAGGTTTTCACTTTAGTCAGAGCATTACCAGTTACTGTAAATTGTTTTCTACTTACCTGTCCCCTTCCTACTAACACTACTCTAATCCCTCCCCTTCTACCAGATATTTAAGATTACCAGTAATGCACTTTACAATTACCTCATTTCTAAGTCCCAAACGTAAAAGCAGACCAATGTCTTTTTTTCACGTTTGCCATTAGCTTCCAATGAGCCTACCAGCCAGCCACATTCACCCATGGGAACTTCCATCCACTCACCCACAACTTCCCAGGTACCCTCTCTGTGCTGGGTACCACCCTTTAAAATGGGGACTATGTGCCAATGAACCATTTTCAAACCTCTGCCCTCATGGAGGAGCATCCTCGTGGGAAGGGAGGGAGGAGTAGTTTTTTAAAAAACAAAAGATCCTAGTTCTGGTTGGGGATGGGCCTCAGATCCTGCATTTCTAAGAATGACGCCACTAACAGTCTATTTAGGAAAAATGACCTAGGGAAAGGGAACAGAGAATGTAGTCAGGAAGAGTTAAGTTTGACATTTGTGCAAAGACTAGAAGCAAATAGGATTAAATCAGTTATCTGGGGAGAGATTTTTCCAGGCTAAGGGAAGAAAAAGCATAAAGTCCATAAAGAAGTCAGTCTAGAGTAAAAGGTGGGGATGAGGGGAGGCAGAAAAATAAAAGGTCACTGTACAAAGACGATTAGTGGGTGAGCTGAAGGCTCAAACAAGTTTCCCATTTTAAAAGCAGTCCATTATATTATGACTAGCAGTACAGTCAAAGGCAGAATAAGGGACCAAAAATGTTCAAAACTCGGCAGGAACTACATCCTAAACTTAGGAGAAATTTTAGAAAATCAAATGGTGGGATAAAGTTCAAGTTTGACAGTTCTTTTGGGGCAAAGCAGACTGGAAAGCTCCTCGCCTTTAGAATGACCCTGCAGAGCAATGTGACAAGAGCCAATCCTCAAGGAAATCCAGTGCAGCATGGAGGCTATTACTGCACACCTGGTGTATTAGGTGCTGTTACCAGAACACTGCAGAAGACACTGCGACCTCAAGTTGGGAGAGGAAAAGCCTGTGATTCAGAAGCAAATTTAAGGCTGGTGCTGGCCGAAAGGTGTCATGCCAAGCAAAATAGGCAGCCATAAAACTAAGAGAATTAAATATGAAACAAAATGGTGAAAACAGCAATCCTCCAGCCTTATGCACTTTCACCTCCATACAGACTTCAAGGGGCTGCTCTGCTGTCCTGCATTCCTTTTGCTCATCATTTTGGACAATTTAGGGAAATGGTTACATTCATAAACAGGTTCTCAACAGATTTCTCATGCTTATCTTCCTAGCAGTCAGCCCTGCTTACTCTACAAAGATTCTATCTAATGCATCTGGATGAAAGTTGCAGGACTTTATATTTTTAAAAATATCTTTGGGTAATTATAATGCCCAACTGTGGTTATGAACCTTATCCTGGTACATGTGTAATCACTCTAGAATTCCAGCAAGTGATCTTCACCGAACTTGACAGGTAGCCTAAGGCCACCTGGTGGCTCGAGGGGTTCATACTTGAATACCTGACCCAATGTGAAAATTTTCATCTACCCTTGCAAAGTTCAGAAGTCCCAGCTCTCTCAACCTGTGGAATAGTGGTATTCCTACAGATTACAACTGAATTAAGTATTGTTAGAATGAGTCCTTTAAAGTTTACCAATGGAATTTCAGAACTTTTCAACGTCTCATTGTCTAACATAAAGTCAGCACTAAATTAACAGTTTCATAGTACAAACACTTCTTATAAGCAAACATGTAAAATGAGCACATGCTAATTTTCTCTTAAGTGTACTATATACTGAATGTAGGTCTCCAGTGTTAATCATGCATTTAAGAATGGGAATACTACAGTGATCATTTAATTTGGCACCATTTGCTGCCAACCTCAGTTTTTTTGTCCTTTACCTCTATACCATGTTGAATATTTGCCTCGTTAAGGACTATATATAAACCTGCATTTATGTTGGCATTTACTTTTTAACTTTTTTTAAGTATTTAAAACTGCATGAGACTGAAACTGTTGTTTACCAGCCCTAAGCACAACCTAGTTATCTTATTTTTAAAATATGTACTATGGCTTTTTTTAACCCTCAAATCGCTAAGGGTTTTGGAGAATATACCCCATATTTCATTACTCTTAAATATACTACAGACCCATTAAGGAACATTCAAACCGACTATGAACAAATAATGTGGTATTTACTAAAAGCAGTTAAGACTTTTCACACTTTGGTTAAACTTCAATGCAGCAATGGGCAAGAGAACTTTATCAATATACGTACAGTATCTCAGTAACAATAAAAAAGAGATGCTCCACTTAATTAAATCAATAAAATCTCAACTGGTTGTGTTTTGGTGGGGAGGGCGGTTAGGCTTTTATTTATTTTTTAATGGAGGTACTGGGAACTGAACCCAGGACCTCGTGCATGCTAAGCAAGCACTCTACCACTGCACTGAGCTACACTCGCCCCCTTCAACTGGCTGGTTTTTAGGTACTTATGATCTACAGTTTTAAGATAAATTAACAATTCGTAACTGGAGTCCTTAACAGATTTTTGGTTAATATATCAGGAACTCATATCAATCTCCAAATTAAATTTAAAAGTGATCTGAAAACTCAGAACAGTAAGTCAAGGACTTTTTACAGACTGATTTTTGACATGGGTTTGAATTTGGAGCCAATTTACCAGTTTTATAACCTTCTTGCAAATAAATTTTGCTGATCTCATTTTTATCTAGAAAATTAGGGTGCAAACAAGAGATGTCATAGATACTTAAGTTAGGGAGGATAATACAGGTAAGTAACTTGGGTACCTTTCTGACTTCCCCAATTACCTCAGTTAATAAGCAAAGATGTTTGGTTCTTTTACATTACCAAAAAAAAAAAAAAAACAGAAAAACTGCCACAACCAAGAATAACCTTAAAATTTTTATTTCACATGCTTATTCTGGGCAATTTAACAAGTAGTTTAAAAATGCATAATTTTATTTACATTAAATGCACTAAAACAACTCAAACAGCATGACCAAACTGCAAATATGTAAGTAAGCATCTCTAAATGCTTTATCTGTGGTCAATTAGAAAAAGTAAAACTAAGCCGTCTGTAATTTTCCTATGATCATAAAATTCATGGAATACATCCATTTTAGTAACCCTTTAAAACTCTGTAAGAATATTACATCCTGAATTCAACTTATCAGAACAGAAAACTACATTAAATTCAGGCTTTAAGCACAGTGAAAGCTTAACAACTTCTAAGGTAAAGAATAATGTGCAGTCTCAAGTAGGCATGGTATTATTTCCAGCCGGACAACAAAAATTGGCCTTGTGTACTGAGCTCTCCTTACCTTTACTGCTCAGCTCAGAGGCTCCCAATTTTAATGTTAGACAAACTACACCAGGGTTGTCAATTGCTAAGAGTAGTACTTCATTAAATACATAGTAAACTTTGATGTGACACTGAATGGTTCTCCAGGCAGCGGTAGGTTGCATTTTGTCAGCAATCATTCTGTAGGGATCTTCAAACTATAGGGAAAAACTCAAGTCTGGCTTGCTGTGCTTAGATAGGTTGCCTGTAAAATGAAGATCTCAAGGTTTTTAGTAAAATCACCACTAATTTTGCAAGCGCCTTTGAACAAATGTAAAATCCTAAGTGCTTTCCTTTTAAACAGACTGAAAAACTGTATGAATAAAATGCAAAAGAATATTATGAGGTTTCTTCCTGAGAAGTCTTAAGGCTACACACACATCCCTCCCCCAAACTTGAAACACCAAGTCTTAAGGAATTTCAAGGTTAAAACACAAAGAAAAAGGTTAGAGCTGTTTTTCCCCCAGGTCAATTACAGATGAGGCAATTATCAGGTACAATTAATGTGTTCACTTAGTTCTATCTCAAAAAGGATGGATAAATGTGAATCTTTATATTCACATTTGTTAGGGCTACTTGAAAACTATTGTCATGCCTAAGAAAACCTTAACAGATTCAAGAACACAAAATTTGCCACACATCTTAAAGCAAAAACAAATCAAATGCAATTCCTACTAAACCCTATACAACCTTAGCCCCACTGACACCCCCCACATGAAAACATTCATTCATTTAAAGTCCAGGTAAGTTCTGTACACAGCTGCTACATGAGTTCAGCATCTAGGAAGCATCTACCATTTAACTTCACGATTTTGTTATTAACAGTTATTTGACTTACATTTTAGCATATTAAAGAAATCATCTGGCTGGTTTTGTATCACTGTTCCACTTCAAATAACCCTAGAGTATTTCCCCAAAGCTTTACAATAAAATCACATGCTTTGGTAGATGTAAACATCACTTTTTCACTTATAACCACAGCACACCATTTTGCAGACTACTGTAAGCCATGCTACTATAGGACTTTTAGAGCACTTAAGGTAGTATGTCATTAAACCACCAAAACAATTTTTGTTTCCTTCAATTCAAAAGGTTTAAGAACTCAAAGATAATTAATCTCCATTTTGTAAATCACTACGTAATTCTTAATATTTTCTCACTCTGGAAATTTACCTTTTAATAAACTATAGAACTGTGAAGTTCTTATTTTTTCTATTCAGGGATCCATAATTAAACTCCTTAAATTTCTTACAGGGATATATCAGGGATTAAACTTACAGTCTCACATAGTGTATTTTAAAGTGATGTTTTCTAAATGTATCAGGTTGTATATATCAAGTAAGGTTATGGAAATTTATTTCACAGAATATAGCATCCTTCTTCCAAAATTCAGCTTGGGACTAATGTCGACAACTTATCATTTAAAATCTGATCATTCTTAAATTAACCCACATTTTTCTACACATATGAAACATAGGCTAGAGACAAAACACATGAAAGAGGCAGAAATGTAAATACTCTAACTGCTTCTTTCTTAGGTTCCATTCCAGTGACACAAGTCACATAAGCCTAAGTCAACTGTCATTGTTTTGTTGTGCAAGTCTGGTTTATGAAGGAAGTAGGAAACATAAATATTAACTACAAATTTAAGACAAAAACTAGTTTCAGATACCTACCCAGCTGCTACATTCTTGGCATTAAGATCTGCGCACACACACACCTGCCACCCTATTTAGCATCAGCATGTCTTATTTTCTTTTTAATACCTATTTTTTAAGTTCCAGAAAGCTAAGAATAATCTCAGGGTCAGTAACAGTTTATACATCATTAACAATTACAAAGAAAACATGCATATAACCAATTAGCAGTTACATATCAAGAACAGCAGCACTACTGGATAAAATGGTATCTGTTTACTAGAAGCAAAAGACAGTTTTCTTTCCCAAATCTGAATTTCATGCTTTAACAAAATAACTTTCTTTACACAATGCTTTAAATAGAATGGCATTTTTACCATATTTAAATTCTTAAATAATGTAAAGAAACAACTCATTTTTAGATTAAACATCCTGAATACTAGGCCCAAAGACAGCAAAGGGGCATATCCTCACTTTAGATTATCATGACAGTTATTAAAGTCAATTTTCTTTACAGACACAAATAACCCTAATGGAATACTTGATAACCAGATAAATCTAATGACAAAAAAAATTAGCAAAGACTTAGTCAAATATGACATGTAACCTCAGAAGTAGAAATGTTTTCGTACAAAGCATCACAAAATTTGATTTCAAGGGACACAAGTTGTATATATATACATACATAAGAATTTTTACACTGACAAAGTAATTACTATGATGTAAAAAAAAAACTTCATTTCTCTGGAACGGTTAGAAGTGGAAGTTGAATCTTCAGTAACATTTAATTTTCAAAATCTTCTGGTCACAATCCCCACCAAACTCAACAGGCCGGGACAAGTGCAATACCATACAGAAACACAGCATTGCAACCGATCCCAACCTGTGTAGAAAGGGGTTTGATTTTCCCTTACTTTTCTACAGACTTTTCACTACCACAGTCAGTTTTGCATGGATTTGCACAGCAGAATATCACACAGCTGGATGCAAACCTGCAAAACT